AAATACAGGGTAATAAAATGCTATTTTAACACTATTTCAGTTTGAATTACTGATGAAAAAGTAGTCTGATTAAACCTTAACCTGAGAACTTTTGTGTGCGCCTTTTAAATCATTGAGTTATTAGTCCTATATCTGTTATACATATTAATTCACGTTTTAAGTAGACTACTTACCGCTTAATGTCATTCAAAATTAATGTTTTCGGTGAACCATAAATTGGATCACGTTTATCAAAGCCTTTAAGTATGATAAATTATAGTCATCGTTATTGTGTTTTTGCGTTACGCAGAATGCGCATGCGCGAAATGTAAATAAATTGAACAAATGGAGTTTTTATTAGTTCAAACCGCCTTTTTAAGTTTTCAAGTTTTATTTGAAGATCGTGTAACACAAATTTTTACGGTTTTATATCATAAATATGATGTTCAAATTAAGATGTTTTGATATTGTAAGTTCCAAAAGCATTATTTATAAAGATATTACCGAATTAATCATTTCATGTAAATAAAGGGGGATAATAAGAAATTATTTTCTTTAAAGTCTAAGTTAAATTTTCCAATAAGAAATGAATGCATATAGTTTTATGATTACATATAATGTGAACACATATTTCCAGTACATATTTTTACATATTCGTCGATAATTGAAAATTGTTTATTAGCATAATTATATACATATATATAATTTTACATAAGTGGTAGTATCAACCTCAATCATATCATACAGGACCTTAAAACACTAATTCTGCTTATCAGAAGCCAAATTGCGCTTGCTACTGAAGTCCATGAACATGCACAAATCAAACCTGCAATATTTTAAAATTAACCATATTTAATGTTAAAATAATGTTTATTGCTACGATTTAATCTATTTCATTTTATTATTTTGTTCTTATTTAGCTATAGGTTTATAGTTTTACATATGTTATCTAAATCTAAGTGGTTTTTGATTTCAGGAAGGAAGTTGTAAATAAACTAGGGCTGGGAACGAATAAGGAATTTGATGTTCGAATATTCGTTTTCAATATTTGAATATATTCGAATATTCGTTTTTACAACATTTGCTCCAATATCTCTCTTTGACGTATACGTATCCGAAATTGATTGCGTCGAATACTATTCTTCTTTAAAATGCTTGGAATAATCAACGATTAAAAATATATTTATAACTATGTAAAAGTTTTCTGTTTTATATATTGTAAATCGATGTATATGTTTACTTTTGAAATAAATTCATAATTTGATTTCCTTCAAGTTGATCCGACTGCTGATCATTTGTCTTATTAACGGGAGGTAACTCACGTGACTTGATTGACAGTAATATGAATCTGACGGTGTCCGGACATAATCCCCTTCGGACAAAATCCCTTTCATGTATTTTTGTATATCCGGACATAATCCCCTTCATGGGTGGACATAATCCCCTTCATGTGTGAAATTTTGAAGTGGACAAAATCCCCTTCATAAAATTGCTACCTAGGACAAAACCCCCCTCAGAGGAATTTTCGTTTTTGTAAGTGGGTATGAGAGCCACATACTGCATTATGCTGTGTAGTAAATATCTTAAGTATAAATGAGTAGAAACTATTTCAGCAGAAAAGCACATTCAATTAGCAACATTTAAATCACATTAAAATTGCTTTGTTAAAGCATTCATAACAATCAATCAAGTAGTGCAGTGATCTTGGTTTGATTAAATTATCACTCTTTCATCAATAGAAATTGTAACAATGGATAGTATCTATCAATTAGAATTATCAACTTGTACAATCAATGAAACAATTATTGGCTAATAAAAATGTTTTTCATACTAATCAATTTAAAACTATTAAAGAAATTGCTTAAAAAACAAATATGTGTTATGCAGTTGATAATTTACCATAATTTTCATGAAAACTTCTAAACTAAATAAAGGTTACTATTGATACATAATTATAAATAAAAAACAAAAGTTCATTATTCATCAATTTTTAGGGAGTATAATAATACATTATTCATCAATTTTTATGGAGCATAATAATACATTAGAAACCTATGAAACAAGGGGATTTTGTCCGGGTAGTGAAGGGGATTTTGTCCAGCCTTGCAAAAAAAAATGAAGGGGATTATGTCCATCCATGAAGGGGATTTTGTCCGGGTAGGTGAAGGGGATTTTGACCGAAGGGGATTATGTCTGACATTCGAATCTGACATCACACATAATTATATTGAAACTTAACTTGTATTAAATATTTTTTTTATTTATTTATAATTTTAGATAAGGTTTGAAATATACTTCAGATAAATTTAGCTATATAACGCAGTAAATATCACACGGAGTCTAATTTCTACGGAATAAATATATTCTGACGGAATATAGACACAATGCTTTCATCAAGCACCGATTAATGTGTGTCGATTTTTTTGTCTTTACAAAATTTAAGACAATTATTGATTAATCGGAAAGATTATAGAACAGAAAACAATAAATAAAGATAATTAAAATCGGAAAGAATTACATTAGAAACTGTTAAACAGGTAAATTGCAAACTGTGAAACGGGTTCTAGACCCCAAAGTTTTCACATTTAATTGGCGATATTCGTTGACACGTGTCATACAAACGTGTTAACACCTGGTCAAGTAAAGGTCAAATGTTTAATATACGATCTTATTTGAAATTTGAAAGTAATAAAAAAAACATTCTTTTTTTTCGAATATTCGTATTCGTTTTTCAATGTTCGAATATTCGGTAGTGTTTCGAATATTCGAAAAAAAATTCCAGGCCCTAAAATAAACCCGCATAATATGATGTTGCTCTTTGGCATTGTTTGATGATTCCTACACCAAAAGTCTAGGTGGCCTGACCTGGATATCATTGCTCAATGATGCCTAGACATATCGTGCAAAATCAACAACCAAACAATGTGTTATTATTTCAAAGAACTAAAAAAAAATCACCGTAATTGCTAAATACAGCTTAGATAATCGTCCAGAAAGGATATATAATGTAGATAAAATAGGAAAAATAGGATTAAATACTGATCATAACCCTTCTGCTATATAATCTGGAAAAATTCAGCATCTCTCATATTTCAGATTCAGGTACTGGAATTAATATAACTTTAATAGAGTTGGGTATTGCGAAGGAACAGCAAATACCCTCTAACTTTTTTCCTAAGGATTGTACGAAGTCGGGTTTATTTCAGGTTATACGTGGATCTGATGACACTGTGTCCGATCCGACGGTATCTTTGCGGTTGAAAACGATATAATACAATGATATTGTTCAATTATATCAAGTTAGAAATAAATACCTGTTTACATGGTTAATTTTTATTATCGTCTGTTAAACATAAACGCTATATCCAATGAGTATATTTCTACTATAATTGTGTTCGAAGTATAATGGAAAGGTGATAAAAGTTGCCATCGAGTAATACAAATCACACCATTTGAGAAACATTCAAATAAAAATACAAGATAATAAGAAATAAAGCATCGTCCTACACGCTAGTAATACCATTTATAATAATTCATAATGTCTTTAAAGTTCTTGCATCTGTGCACATACGAGGGGTTATCCAAAAATTCGTGGACTTTTAAATATCTCTTGAACGTCAATGTGTATTGTAACGAAATTTTATCAGCATACCTTGTAGATTATTATAAACACATTTTGACTGCGTCAAAAATAATGATTTTATATGACTTTTAAATTAACACATACACGGGACCCGGAGCACGGTAGAAAAGCGCAATTAATCATCGTATATTTTTTGCTAAAAAACTAATAAGTAACGTAAAGCCGCTAAACATCGCATTTTTCATCTATGATGTCATTTCAGTAACTGTTTAAAAATTTGGACGTCATTTCCATTAATTTTTGTTGAAGTCACGCCAATATTGTTTACAACAGGATAATGACGGGCATGCAGAAATTAGAAAATTGCGTGATTATACTTTTTGTTGTAATTTGGGAATGACAACTACAAAAACATTTGAAGATCAGCATGCGAACAGAGAAAATAAAATTTCACAATCAATAGTGTTAAAGTGGCATAAAACAATATTGATTGACATTACTTTGAGAAGCAGTAGCGGTCATTGACTGCGTAACATTGAAACACAAGTTGTAAACGTTATATGACGTTGACGTCAATAACGTTTTGAAGTGTGCCGCTGTCACCGACATGTGTTTATGCAAAATTAAATATTGTTGTAATACAAGAAGCTACTAACATGATTTTTTCTGTGTTTATTTGTAATTTATTCTACTAAGCAGTGTTAGAATTTCAAATCAATATTTCAAATATATTTGACGCAACAATGAAAGTCCACGAATTTTTGGATAACCCCTCGTATTACTTAAATCAAGGGAGGCGACCTTTGTTTCTTTTAACTGCAGGCAAGAGAGATCTTAAATTCTGTAGACATAAATTGATGTTTTCGGCAACGACTATTTTGAGACCAACAATTTCCTATAAAAGCAAAGGGATCATTACTTCACATATACTCGTGTTATGTTAGGAAGTTTTCACGTTTCTAATGTACAAATGTGACGCAAAAGAATTAAATAAACTTTTAGAATTTCTTTTTTTGTATACATGTCGTTTTCCCTTAAAAATTTTTCCTATGTTTAAAACATTTTTATTTTTAATTTCTCTAGGGGGAATCCCGGGGAAGTTCATACCACCAAAAAAAACCCCTTTTTTTTATTACATAGATTTAAAAAAACAAAGAGTTTGGGCATGGAAAAAAGTTTAATATTGTGGGAAATTTTTGTTTAAAAATCTATTTTATGAAAAATCCCTTGCCCAATTTATTTCAAGCGTTATAAGCTTTTCCCTTTTTTTTGGTTATTTGTCCCCATTAAAAATATATTTTCAGAAAAAATGCTTACACCGATTATCTAAAATTTTCCATAAAATTATTAGCCCACAGCTACATCTAATGATACATAAAATCTCAAAAACATATTTTCGGCAGTCAAAAATTCTCCATGGTGACTCGTTAAAATGTTTTTAAGGAGAGTACGAGCACACAGCGCACGTGATCTGTTTCCCGGATTCATAAGGCCGGCATTTCAATGAACCACATACCGCTTCAACAAAGAAAAACAAAGACCCATTGTGATCCACTTGGCTTGAATATTCGGCTGCAGTTGGATTACCGTCGAAGCATAAATATTCTGTTCCTGCTTGATGGGTGTTCTTACCAGCCATCAAGTAACCTGCGTATTCTAACTTGAAAGTGTCTGGGCAGTCATATCTTCCAGGAATCATGATGACGCTCGTACGAGGAATAAGACAAACAGCACATGGGATTTCATGGTCTCTCAAATTGTCCCAAATACTGTCATGAGTTTCGTATTCGGCACCATATATCAGTGTCGTCCATCTTGGCTTTTTATAGTGATAGTGATATTTTGGCTTCTTAGACAAACACACATGATTAGCTGCTCCTCCTTTATGCCAGTGATACGATCCAGCAGTAAACCTGTCGTAAACAGTCGTAACTCCAGGAGGACAAGAAGACCGTCCCCATCTCGTGTATGTGTCCGTGGCTTGCTGTTTACTTAGACGTTCGATTTTGCTCTTTATAGCTTAAATTAAAACAGTTGTATTCATCATTTGTACCATTATACAATAAAATTTAATTTAAATTCTAGTTAAGATGTTTAAGCCAAACTACAAAACATGGATTGTCGCTCTTAGCAATAAAGCATATTTCTTAATTGATATAAATGTCCTTTTAGAATGAAATACATGGCTGACTGAGTAAAATTTCGAAGAGAACCGAAGTGTTTTTCATCTCAATGATAGTCGTCTGAATATCTAAATTATTCAATTTCGTAAGGTAACGGCGTAGTGTTATACGTGTGAAATTCAAAAAATCGATATCTTTGTGTGAATTTCTTCGGTTGAAAATGATATGCTTTTAACGGTATTGATAATTTAATTATATTTATAACATGAGTTTAATGATATAGATGTTAGATATAACACTTACTTTCAACATCGTTTCTTATTGATGCAACACTCCCTCCACAGTCAATAAGCATTTCCAAGACTTTTGAAGCATTCTCAAGTTTTTGGTTTTCGGTAGCAAGACCCGTTTTTATGGTCAACAGTGCAAAAACTAGCTACAACATTATTTACACTTCCACTTGCGACCACTTTGCAAGAATAAGACAAAAGTGTGAATGTTTAACTTTTAGTGTGAAGGTTTGTTTTTGAGGACAATTTAAAGATTTCGTGTCAAATCTTAAAGCTTTTACAAAATGAATGCTATGAACGTTATCTAAATTTCAAAATGATTTTGTGCAGATAATAGTATCAATAGGAGTATAAGTTTTGAAGACATTGTCAGCGTCGTTTCCCAATTGCAGTTTTTCCGGATCATTCGGTTTATCTCCGGATGACTATGTATAGTCGTCAAGGTGTTCAAACTGAGTGCATGAGACAATAATATTTACGAATGGTCATTAAAATTAGTTTGTAAAATTGTTTTAGAGAAATACTCAACATTACTGCTTTAAAATATTAACCTTTATGTTGATGGGAGATTTTCCTGTTTTTCTTCCTGTTTGTGAAAATATCTCTTTGTTTTTGTACATATGGTTACCAATTTGGTACTAACCTTTACAATACAATCATAATAAATTTAAACCTATGAAATATATTGTTAGTTACCATAATACTATCAGTTAGTTGAAAACAAAAAGGCCTAACATCACGCTTTTTATGTCCTTCGGGATGTCAGATGTTTTATTAATGATTGTCAAACATACTGTTAAAACGATCACGTGGTTTGTTGTTTTCTACAGGGTAATAACAATATCACAATTGGCACCGCTCGTAAGGGCGGAGGCTCGTGGGGGGTATAAAACACGACTTTTAGGTTAACTAATTGAAAGTAGTTTGCGAAAAATAACTGCAAGCACTTCTCTTATAAATGTTTTATTTGACAAAAGCAGATCAACAAAAACAAGAACAAGACACAGACCAAAATGTAATGAAAAAAGGAGAAATGATAAAGGCACTGTAATAACACTGAATATAATTCGATTTATTTCGAAAATTTATATTCATCTCTAAATTCAACGGCATGTATAAGTTCAACAAAGTTTTATTATATGTTAATAAATAAGAGATTTGATATTGGTCCTGTTATTTGTCCGAGGGCAGTCGTATTGAATATCAAATCACTTATTTATTGACAACTTTATTAAATAACTACATGTACTTATAATATTTCACATTTAATCCTTCTTAATTTCTTCTTATATTAATTCTAACATAAGTATTTTAATTATAACAAAGAACAACTGTAAAAATAACTACATTATATCAGTTTGTTTGGAAAACCTACATTTTGTTAACTTATATTGTATATGTACAACAAAATGCCCGACTGTGAATGTTTACAAACTGAGAATATTTTGTTATCAACATGTTGGCGTATACACATAGACCGAGTTAAAACAAAATGGCTGCCATTTCCCAGTTTCTTGCAGAAATCTAAATCTACATCATTTTTTGGCCCTGCTTTATTAGCCAATCAAATTACTTCAAATGCGGGCTTTATATCTATATCAATTTTTGCCCAGAGCCGAAAAAGTGATATAGATATTGGCACTATTTTAAGGCAGGCCATCGTGTTATTGAATGTAGCAGATGCTTTTATATAGGACTAATAACGTATAGTTATTTAATAAAGCATCATACAATCTTATGACCACAATATTGTTTAAGTAACCAGTAATTTTGACGATCTCAAAAAAAAAAAGAAAGAAAGAAAGAAAGAATAAAATAAAAAAATAAATGAAAAGAAAACAACAACAAAAAAGGAACAACAAAGTCAGTTATGTTGAAAACACAGCATTTAAAATCATTCATTAATTAATGTAACACATTATGTTTGTAAAATACTGCATCTTTAGAAATTTGCATTGATAATATTAGTCAAATTCATAGACCTATAGAAGTATTGCTCTTTCTGATTTTTCAGATAATCAAACATATTGCACGATAAAATATTCAATGACATTTGAAATACATTCAGGAACATCTGCTTATATTGCAATATTGAAATGTGTATATGAGCTGACCGTAAAACTAAAGGATTTGGCCTTTTCTCAGGTATTTTACTTTTGTTTTGATATTCAGATGAAGATGCTGTGGTAGGTTGAAGCATTCTGTTTAATTTAAGAATGCATAAAACTGTGGATATATTCGTTCCTTCTAAGAAGAGATATTACAAACATGTCAAACATTAAAAGCCGAATCATGTTATTGAACTCATACATCATCTATTCTCCAATCTGCCAGAACCCAAAAATGTCGGTCATTTATCTAATTATTTAATTTGTTTCTTGCTTCATTTTGTATTCCAAGTGCATCTTAAACGAGACATCTTTCCAGACAGTAGAGCGGAATTGAGTCGACGTTAAACAATAGATGAACGGATTACTTAACGAATTTATTGAAATATTTGAAATAAATCGGCTAATTGTTTCTGTTGTCCCGGCTGAAACATTAAGTGACATATTTACTGTTGCAAGCCAAAAGAGCATACCAATTAAATTTGTACTCATTTATTCCTGTGTTGTTCACTTTATTGTTTAAAACAAAGCGGAAGGTGATGACAAGCACTGACGAGCAAACAGTTCCAACGCAAATTTAAATGTTGCCTATAATCATGAAAAATGTAGCATGTTTGTACCATATAATAACCGGGGTGTTTATTTATTTCATAATTTTGTACCTGAGTATGCTGATCATAAAGCAATTACCGACTGACAATGTAACTGATAACTGAAGAAGAATAAGACCAATGATACAGAAGGAATAATATATATCAGTATGAATGGTAATGAAAGGTGGCCAAAATGAGGAAGTGCCATTGCTACCCCAGAGAGAATGTCTGTAGAACATAAGAAAACAAGTTGTTGTAAGAACCCTTTTCCGCCTATACAGTTTCTATGCCTTAACAGTAAGCACATTGAAGAAACATTCAGGACGGTGATGCAGCAGCCTAGACCAAATGAAATATTCGTAAATGTCCGTTCAGATGCTGGTTTTAAGTCTTCTGTGAAGTTCCAAAATCCACTCAGATTTTGATGATTTGTTATGTTTTCCTGATCTCTATCCATATTATTTATTATTTGAAATACAGCTGAAATGTATAAAACAATAGCATAACACGTCTTCCAATTTAACGTTATGATGAGCTACTTATTTTTCTATAACTGAACATATCAAGAAGAGCTGTAGTTCTATAGCCCCATTACTATTAATTAATCTTCTGATTTCACTTTTATATTCGCGTATTATTAAATTCATTACGAACTTGTATCGTGGGCTAATTCTCTAAAATAGGGAGAAATAAAACTTAATAAAGAACGTCAAAACCGCATAATTAAGCATTGCAGACTCGGTATGATTAAGCCCGAACATAGGCAGTTCTGAAAATGTTATTTCACCGTCCCTGTCCCCTAACACCGACTTAAGCAGTATTGAAATGTGGTTAATTTTAGAATTTTGAAAGATCCGCAGACGTGTTCCTGTGGCGGTTATGATAGAACCTTCAATATGAAACGTCAGTGCCATCGTAACTTTAACAGCTGTTTAACATCTGACAAGCTTTAACTAACTATGAAAACATTTGTTATCACGTGTTTGACATATCTCATAGTATTTCGAAGACATAGTGTGCCAATATACTTGTATGAAATAATTTTGTTTGTATATTTCCTTCAAATCTAAATGCGAATGACAAAATTATACTTAAAGGTTAAAAAAATTTATTAACATCCATAATTCATATGCTTTAAGAAAAGTCTATGTTATAACACCTTTGAGAATCAAACATAAAATTCTGGAAACAATATTATTTTTCCGTTAATTAACATTATTAAAATATTTTGCATTTTGAAAATAAAAAAATTCTATGAATAACAACATGTTAAGGATCTTATTTGAAATTTTAAGTTACTTTTAGCACGGTCTCCACAACTTGCTTTGTTAGGTAAACATTTAAACACATTTATGAAGCGCCACCAGCAAGCACTTGCTACTTAAAGTACAATGTAAGTACCAAAAACAAAAATAAAATATTTTGAGAAAAAAGATAATAGTATTTCTTGAATTAATGGGTCTTTTACTGAAAATATAATGAAATTATTAATTAAGCAATACGACATCAATAAAACAAATAATAACTTATCAGTAATACATAATCAAACATCAAACTACGTTAGGTAAATAAATTAGAAACAATTTACCTCATGTAAGATTGCACTTGCTGAATGCTAAAAACTTCTCTGGTGTTGCCACAGTCTGACTTCAATCATTTCTCTACGCATCCTGCTTTACTACTATATTATCATAAAAAGTAAATTCGTCATAAAACAGTTTCTACAGTAAAAGTATCGAGATTGGTGAATCAATATGCGATTGGTTGTTTTTTAAAATGCTTTGTTTTTGTGGCGGAAGTTCCCGTGTTGTGGCAAATATGAACACTTGAAAGAGTCTGAACAATGTTTTAATAAGTCAAATATTGCTCTCTTAGCTACTTATTTTCTTTCGTAAATCGTATGTACAATATGTAAGGTTAGATTAGACATTAAAAATGGCGACTTCTGTATTCTTATAGGACGTTTCACCTAATTACTTTAGAAACCGTAGGAGCCGTACCTACATTTCGACTTTGAAAACATCAATTCATTTTTTCTTTCGTTATGATCTGGGGGGGGGGGTGTGGCTTCTTCGAATCAACTTATGCATGCCATAATAGTAACAAATGTAAATATGAAGCATATGCGTGAAACGACGCAACGATATTTCATTTACTGGGTAATGTCGAATATTTAAGATTGTCACATTTCCATAAACACTATGAGTGGGATTCATTAATTCAAAATCTGACTCAACAATTACGTTTTTCAAGTCAAAAACCTCTTCGTTCATCCAACTTGATGTGAGTTTTAAGGCTTTCGTAGCACAGCTCATTTAGGATACCAATGCATAAGAACATCAAACTAATTTAACCAGCCTCAAA